TACTACTGAGCTACACTTCCAGCTCTGCAAATGTTCTCTTTCAAAAGCAGTACTATGAGTCTAGTTCTTTCCTTCTTCTGTGGACTTTGCTGGAAAAATAAATAAAACAAATGCAAAAGCATATTGTTTAAAACATAATTTAGTCAAATAAAAATGTTTCTATAAGGCAGATGTGTTGATGCAGACCTTTAATCCCAGGACTCAGAAGGCAGAAACAGGTGGATCTCTATGATCTTGAGGCCAGCCTGGTCTACATATCACTATGTTCTAGAACAGCCAAGGCTATGTAGAGAGACCTGGTCTCACAAAAACAAAACAAACAAAAACCAAATCTTTCTTTTAAATCAATTTGTTTTTAAAGTTTTCTCATTCAAGAAGTAAACAAAACTTGCATATTTATATTTAGGAATTTTTCTTTGCTCTTTAGAATATCACACAAAATCAATAAACCAAGAGCCAGATGTGGTGGCACATACCTTTATCAACTCTTTCGAGGCAGAGGTAGGAGGATCTCTGGGAGTTTGAGACTGGCCTGGTCTATATAGTGAGTTCCAGGCCAATGCTACATTACAATACCACAATAGATCCTTGCCTCAATAAGAAGAAAACAAATCTAGCTAATGTACCTTTTATCAATCTAAAAACAATTGAAAACTGAAGGCAAGCCCAGGGTTTTAGTATGGGCTTCTATTGCTGTGATAATGACCGTGACAAAGTCAACTTGGGGAGAGAAAAGAGTTGATTTCATTTTACAACACACAGGTCAAACTCCAGTCCCTAAGGTCAGTAAGAGTAGACACTCAACAGAGTTGAGTTTAAACATGAGTTTAAGTAGCATGCATATATGTATATGTCTCAACACGGGTTGAGACAATCTCTCACTGAACCTGGAGCTCAAAGACTGGCTCTGACCAGCAAGTCCCAGGGTGCCCCTGTCTCTGCCCCATCTCTGCCTCCTCAGTAATGGAATTCTAGGTGTACACTGTACACTTGTTTTTATCTGCGTGCTGAGAATCCAAACCTTGTGTCTTAGTTAGGGTTTTACTGCTGTGAACTAACACCATGACCAATCTAAGTTTTACAAAGGACAACATTTAACTAGGGTGGCTTACAGATTCAGAGGTTCAATCCATCATCATCAAGGTGGGAGCACAGCAGCATCCAGGCAGGCATGATACAGGCAGAGCTAAGAGTTCTACATCTTCATCTGTAGGCTGCTAGTGGAAGACTGACTTTCAGGTATCTAGTGTGAGGGCCCACAGTGACACACCTAATCCAACAAGGTCACACCTCCTAATAGTGCCGCTCCCTGGGCCAAGCATATACACTCCACTCCCTGGCCCCCATAGGCTTATCCAAACACATGAGTCTACGGGGGTCATACCTAAACATAGTATAATTCGAAAATACATTTAGTCCAACTTCAAAAGTCCCCATAGTCTACAGCAGTCTCAACAATATTAAAAGTCCAAAGTTCAAAGTTATTATTAAATGAGAGTTAACAAGTCTAGTGCTAAGAATGAAGTGATCAAAAGGTTTGACAAGCTCAAGTAATATGAAGATGATGGTTCTCCAAACATGTAAACCAAGAATACAGAAGGCATCATACGTGCACATGCATACATGCACACACACACACACACCTGCCTAAGCACACACATATAACCATACACGTGTGCACAATAAATGTTAAACTTTTAAACTGTCTTTCTCTTATATTTAGTCTTTTCAGTCTTAGCTCCATTTTGGTTTTCCTTTGTTGAGATGGGGGTCTTCCTAATGTGCCCCAGGCTGGCCTTGAACTCTCAAATCTCTTGCTTCAGTCTCCGGAGCTTCATAATCATAGGCCTGTACCACTACCTCATCTCTTCTTCACTCTAGATAGATATGGTTAAAGTTTGCTGACCTTTAATATTCTCCAAGAGAACTTTTCATTCTATCGATGCCTATTTTTGCTGTTCTCAATGACTTTTGTCTCTGCTCCAATGTTTATTATTTCTTTGCTTCTGTTTATACCAAGTTTATTTGCTTTCTTTTTTCTAATATCATAAAGCCAAAAGGTAGGTTGGTCATGGATTCAATATTTGTCTTTTTAAAAAATAGATAACAAATGTTTACAGTTATGATTTCCCCTCTAAATACTGCTTTGGCCTTGTCCTGTGAGATTTGATCTTGTTTTGTTTTCATTTGGCTCACAGTAGGATTAATTTTTATCATTTCCTGTGGGGAAACCCTACTATTTAAGGTACAGTCTACCATATCTAGATATGGCACAAAGTGGAGGACCCCCTTTTCCAGCAAGGCTTCCTCTTCTCTGCCTGACCTTATCTGAGGAGCCTGACCCCTACACCCTCTACCTGAGGAAGGTTATGCAGTCCTTGGCAAACTTACAAGTTCAGTTTCCTCTTGCCCAATAAGAACCTTCCCAGCAAGCACCTGGGATTCTTGAAATGGTTTACCATGCAAATGAGGCATTCCCAGTACATTAAGCATCAGCCAATGATTTATGTTCAACCTGACACCTCCTTCCCATTCTCCAAGGTTTGTTTATAGCCCTCGTCCACCACAAATAAAGTGTATGCGCACCAGCTGTTTCTCTGAAGATCATCTAAGAGAGCTGTTTCCTTGAGCACCCTCTGAGAGAATTGTCCTACTGAATTGCCCATCCTCAGAGAAGGCCTTCTTCCTGCTCACAGCTTCACTGGGACCCTGCAGACCCCACTGGTTCCTCAAGGGAGGAAATGCTTACAAGAAGCCACAATTCCCCTTGTGATTTCTTCTTTTACCCAGTGGCTCTTCAGGAATCTTCTCTAACTTTCACTTTCTAGTGAACCTCTGGTTCCTAATTTCAATCCACTGTGACCAGAAAATACATTCTGCATTACTTTAATCCTTTTAAATGTACTGAAGCTTGTTTTATAATCTAGGACTATGGTCTGTTTGGAGAATATCCACATGGCCTTGAGAAAAATGTGTATCTGTTATTGTTGGACAAAACATTCCATCGGTGTCCTCTGGTTCTGGCTAGTCATGTTCTTCTCTTAACTTTTGATCTCTGGGTAGTTGGTCCCATCATTGAAAGTGGGGTATTGAATTCATCTGTTACTGCTAAATTGTTTATTTCTTCCTTCGATTCTGTTTGGTTTTGCTTTATATACATTACAGCTCAGTTACTAGCTGCATAGGCACTTACAATGTTTATGAATTCCAGATGATTTGGCCCTTCTATCAAAGCAGGTACACACTCACACTCCGTGTGTATCCGTTTTAGTGATAAAGTCCGCCTGGTGAGATGTTTCTTGTCAACACTGTTTTCCGTTTGCGTGTCTTATTAAAGTCTGCTTTCACTTTCAAGACGTCGGTGCTTTGAAGCTAATTCTGTCTCAGGCATAACACACAGTTGGGTTGTGTATTTTTTAATTCCATCAGTCTTTGGGTCTTGAGTGCACTGTTTGATTCATTTATATCTATATGAGGATTTACGTAATAAAAGGTCATTTTACTAAGTGTATTGGCTAGTTTTATGTCAACTTGATACAAGCTAGTGTCATTGGAGGAGAGAGGCTCAACTGAGGAAATGCCTCTACAAAGTCCAGCTGTGGGCAAGCTTGTAGGGAGTTTTCTTAATTAGTGATGTATGGAGGTGGACTCAGCCCACTGTGGGTGGTTCCATCCCTAGGCTGGTGGTCCTCGTTTCCATAGAGAAGCAGGTTGAGCAGCAACCCCCTCCATGGCTGTTGTACTAGTTCCTGCCTCTAGGTTCCTGTCTTGTTGAGTTCCTGCCCTGACTTGTGGAAGCATAAGCTGAATATACCCTTTCCTCCCCAACTTGCTTTAGTCATGGTGCTTTATCACAGCAGTAAAAGCCCTAACACACTAAGGGTGTGTCCCTTTATATTCCATTATTAGCTTGTTATGTGTGAAATACATAGTTTCTAGTTAATCATTCTCCTTCCATTAATGTTTCTTTTACTATTTTTTTTTTATCTTGGTCATTATCTTAAAGATCTTAATGAGCACAGTAACTTATAGGCATTGGAGACATAGCTTAGTGGCACATAGAGGCAGCTCTGGGTTCAACCACCAAAACAACAACAATAACAGAGCTGGGGAGATAGATCAACAGATAAGAATGCTTGCTGGGCAAGTATGAGAACCAAAGTTCAAATCCCAAACACCCACATAAAACTCCAGAAATGGCTGCACATACCGCCAGCTCCAGCCCTGGGAGATGGAGACAGGCAGCTCCAGCGCTTGCCAGCCAGCCGGCCTAACCAGCTGACTCCTGGATCCATGAGCCCCTGTCTCAAAGCAGTGAGATGGAGAATGGCCAAGGATGCCGTCAGACATCCTCCTCGGCCTCCGTATGCGTGTACGTCTGAGCATGCTTATACGCAGTCGTCTGCGACAAACTCCCTTTGTAAATGCTTTAATTCACACTTGTATGGCATTTATTTATCCATTTAGTTGTGTACGTGTGTATGTACATGTGGAAGTAAGAGGTTAGCTCGTGGGTGTCAGTTCTCCTCTTTCACCGTGTGAGTTCTACAAATCAAACTCCGATCATCAGGCTGGGTGGGTGGCACGTGGCTTTACCCAATGAGACACTTCCCTAGTTCCTAAGTTTTTCAATTTTCTTTCTTTCCTTCTTTTCTTTCTTTTTTTAATAGGTTGGGGGGATGGTGTTGATTGGGTCTCACTATGTAACCCTGACTGTTCTGGAACTCACTCTGTAGACCAGGCAGGCCTCAAACTCACAGAGATCCACCTGCCTCTTCCTCTTGAGTGCCAGGATTAAAGGCACAGACCACCATACCCATTTTCAAATTCTTTTTGAATTTGAAAATGAACATAAAAATAACTATAGATCTTTTGCTTTAAATTTCTGAACTGTCCTCAGAATTGGATCCATGAAAATAAGGGCTGTTTGCAAATCCTTAGATACACACTAGCCCCTACTGTGCCTTCTTAGAAAACACTTCCGGAATGAACACACTTACCTTATCTAATAATACATTCTGCCACAGCCTAAATATACTCAGGTAACTTCTGTCTCTGGCACCAAAAGATGTAAAGAAAAACTACAAAGAAAAATAAGGAGACAAATTTAGTACTCTAAAAATTAAGAGGGGAAGCATCTGTTGTGAAGGTCTGTGGGGTCCTGCTCTGACCAAAGCTGACCACTCCCAACTTTCAACAGTTTTCACTTGCTCTTGTGCTAAAAGGAAAACAAACAATTCTTGCATAAATGAGATATCCTTATAAACCCTGCCTTATAACAAATAGTATCTTATAGTAAACAATTTTCAAGCACAATGTTGCTCTTTGGTTTTTTTTTTTTTTTAACTAGAAAAATGGGCTAAAACTAGGCAGCTATTTGTCTTTATCATAATTTTCTCAAATTAATCTAAATACATTATAGGCCAAAATGGGAATTTTTTTTTATTCTGAACTTTGGGTTATGACAACTGAGCCCTGTATGAACTAAAAATACAAGTGAACTTCAGAAATGTCTATATTAATAATACAAATTTTAAGTTATGCAATTTTCTCAAGTTTTTAAAAAAAAACCTTCAAAACTAATGGATCTCTGTTAACAGTGCACATAAAACACCCAAGTTAAACTTGGAGGCCTATGATATTATAGAAACAAGAAAATGATAAAATGCTCATTCTATAATTCTGTGTTTCTTTTCGACCCAATGTATCTCTCTACATTTAGCTATTTTGGTAAAGTCATATTTAAAGTTGACTTCAGTGAGAAAGTGCAGCAAAGTGCATCCCTGAGTGGAGCCACATAGTGGGCTCTCTCTTCCATCAGCCCAGTCAGTGACTTCCTATCACAAAGTGCTTATCTACAGGAAGGGGAAAGCAAGTCCTATGCCGAAGTGATTAAGAACTTTGACACTTTGATTTGGGCATTAATGATTTCACAGATGGAGTTTTCAATTCATTAACCTGAGACCTCCAGGCAGTGGTGGCATACTTTAATCATAGAAGGCGGAGGCAGGAGGATCTCAGAGTTAGAAGCCAGCCTGGTGTACAGAGCCGTTCCAGGACATCCAGGGATACACAGAAAAACTCTGCTGCAGAAAAACAAAAACTGAGACCTTAAAATATATTCTTTTTTGGTGTGTGTGTGTGTGTGTGTGTGTGTGTGTTTGTTTGTTTTTCAAGACAAGGTTTCTCTGTGTAGCCCTGGCTGTTCAGGAACCCGATCTATAGACCAGGCTGACCTAGAACTTGTAGAGATCTGCTGGTCTCTGCCTCCTGAGCACTGGGACTAAAGACACGCACCACCATGCCTAGCTACAGATTTATATTCTTTGTAGAAGATACATCCTAGCAGATACTTTAGACAGTTTTGTGTACAAAGTATATAACCTAGTGATTAGTAATGCTCTTGTATTCTTTGGATTTCTTTATTTTTATTAGTATAAAAAGAAGTGGATTTAATTGTGACATCATTAAACAAACATAATTGAACTGTATGTTATTCACCTCCTACTGTCTTTCCCACCTTTGACTGCTCTGATTTCTCCTCTGTAGATAGTAACTATTTAAACATACAAGAATCTGTTATAGAATATCTCGTGTCTCCACAAGACACTATAACTTCAAGAGCTACCTGCATTTCCGATGCTATCTGTGTAAAACAGATCTTCCTGCTATTAATATGGCAAAAGTGGAGAAGTGGCTCACCTTTTCCCCCTCCGTGATGATCTGGATAGCATTTGGGATGAGTCGAGCGGTTTTCTCCTTGGTCATAAAGGTTATATTCTTTAAAGCAATAGAAATCTAAACACACACGCACAAAAAAATACTTTTTAAAAACTGAAGTGCATGTTTTCAGAGGCATATACAACCCTAAATACCAAGTGTTGTGTCAATCTAACCCAGAGTATTTGGCTGAAAGCCCTGCTTTAGGAGTTTACAGGCACATGCTGTGCTCTCTGTGAACATGAAGCTAAGCAGTGGGTCAGACACACTCCAGTCAGTGTTATGCCGGTCGATACAGGGATCTAACGTAGGACTGGGTGTGAAAGACATGGGAGTTCAGGGTCCACATTTAAACCCTCAAGCACAATCTAGACAGTCTGTCAGGTAACCATAGCTTTGACAGCCAAGCCCCTTTCAACCTAACTGCAGGAAGTACAAATGGGGCTTGATGTATTAAAATTAGAAAAATACATTACACATTTGTGCATACATAAACACATCATACTTACATAAACATAGATATACAAATATATATGGTTTTACTTTTGAATCATCCTAAATACATTCCTTTTAAGAATACTGTTTATTCTAACTACGCAGTCATCTCTATCAACAAAGCAAATGCAAACATATCTTACTGTAGTTTCCCATCTGAAGATGTTGCTATAGAAACACAGCCAGTTTTCTGAAAGGTACAGCCGCCCCTGAAGCAAGATATCCTTCTGAAGAGCACAAGCATAATCTGTGGAAACAAAGATAAGAGAAGGTCATTCACAAAAGTCTGACAACTGAATAAACCTATACTACTTCAGCTCGTGGGACGCCACCCCTGTCTACTCATTCATTCACTCATTCATTTGTTCATTCATTCATTCATTCATTTACCCATACACTCTATGCCAGCTATTTTGTTGGGAACTAGGTTCATCGGAAATATTTCTTACCCTTCTGTAACTTTGTAAATGAAAGATAGGTATGATGGTTGATATTGTCAACCTGTTAGAATCTAGAACTGTCTAGGAGAGAAGCCTGTGGGCATTCCTGTGAGGGATTATTATCTCAATCTGATTAACTGAGCAACTGAGACCCACCCTGGATATGGGTGGTACCACTCTATGGGCTGGGGTCCCAAACTGTATAAGATGGAGAAAATTCACTGCTTCCTGACTATGAGTGTGCAATGTGACATGCCACCTCGAGTGCCCAACACCATGACTACCTTGCCATCATGGACTGTGAGCCAAAATGAAGTCATTCTCCTTCAAGTTGCTTTTGTTGGGGGATTTTAGAGCAGCAACAGGAAAGGTAACTACTACAGTTCAGGAACTCAGTCCCCGCCTCCCCCATCCCCCACTCCCTCCCACCCCCAACCCCCAACCCCCCACCCCCCGTGGTAGGGAAGGCACAGCGTGGGAGCAGGATGGTCAGTGATGGAGAAGCAGAGAAAGGGGACTCACTGTATTCAGCTGCTTTTCCCCACTTTCCCTTCTAGTTCACTTACAGGATCCAGCTCATGGATGGGACAGTGTAACCCACATTCAGACACACCCAAAGGTGTCCTTCCTAGGAGATGCCAAATCTACCCAAGTTGACAGTGAAGATTAGCCATCAACAGATACAAAACCAAGTTAAGAGGATGACCAAAGTACAAAGATATATGAGAGCTGCTAGCCAGCTAAGGGGCAGGTACGGAGAAGCGTTATCAGGAACGAGTTCCCTGAATAAGTAATCTTTAAAACAGAAACCGAAACATCAATAAAGAGTTGACAGAATTCTGATAGGCCAGCACATGCACAGGCCCCATGGTAGAAAAACACACAACACATTTGAGAGCTAAAAGGCTGGGCATGGTGGTACACACCTTTAATCCCAGTGCTCAGGAGACAGAGGCAGACAGATCTCTGAATTTGAGCCTAATCCACATCCTGAACTCCAGGCCAGCCAAAGATCTATAAAGGAACCTTGCCGTTACTGTCAACTTGACACAATCTAGGATTACCTAGGAGAAGTGTCTCAGTGAGAGTCGAGATTGATTGGCTGTGGGCATGTCTTAGGAGACTGTTTTGATTACACTGATTATGGTGTACAGGCTAGACCATGGTGGGTCACACTGTTCCCTGGATTTCAGTTCTAGCCTGTGTTAGCATAGAGAGAGAATACTGAGAACAAGCCAGCATTCGTTTGTTCCTCTTGTTCCTGATTAAGGATGTGACGTAACCAGCTCTCTCCCTGTGATGGACTACAACCTGGTACTGTCAGCTGAAATGACCCTTTCTTCTCTAAGCTGCTTTGTCAGCATATTTTGTTAACTGAAAAGGAAACGGTGGCAACTGGTCTAGTTTGCTTTCTGTTGTGATAAACGTGATAAATGCTATGACCCAAGGAAACTTGGAAGAGGAAAGGGCTTATTTGGTTTACACTTCTACATCACAGTCTGTCATCTGTGAGGGAAGTCATGGCAGGAACTAGAACAGAAACCACTGAAGAACACTATTTACTGGCTTGCTTCCCATGGCTTGTTCAGCTTGCTTTCTTTATACAACCCAGGACCAGTGGCCTAGGGTTAGAACCGCCCACAGTGAGCTAAGTCCTTACAAACAAATCAATCATCAATCAGGAAATAGCCCCACAAATATGCTCACAGGTTGGCTGATGGAGACAATTCTTCAGCTAAGGGTCTTCCTTCCCAGGTGACTCTAGTTTATGTCAAGTTGTTAAAAACAAACCACCCAACCATTATGCCTCTAAGTAAGCTCTCTCCTCATGCCTAATGCAAACCATAGCCCCCAGCCACTCACAGTACAAGAAATGAAGAACTTCTGTGAGGTGACTCTGTCAACTGCTACATTTTAAAACTACATAAAGTAATTTTTTATTTTAAAATAAAAGTTGTCTCGCATGGTGGTGCATTCCTTTAATCCTAGCTCAGGAGGTGGGCAGATCTCTGTGTGTTTGAGGCCAGTCTGACATAGTGAATTCCAGGACAGTCAGACCCTGTCTCAGAACATCACAAGACAAAAAAGTTGACTAAGCCTCAAAATATTTAGCCTTAGTTGTGTTAAATTCTAAGCACTGAGCAAGATAGTCAACCTTTCAAAATGCTTCCTTCAGGGGAAAAAAAAAAAAAGCTGAGATGCCACCAAATAAAAGCTGTTAGTAAATTAAGTAAGCAGATTAGGTATCCAGTTCACTAATATGTATGTCCTAAGCAGACCGGGTTAAAGGTCACCTTCAGGTGTCATGAAATTTTTATCTCATTGAAACATTTTATCATCCAGTGCTTCTCAGACTTCAGAGATACCTGGTTGGTTGATAACAATGCTAGCCTCTCCCCGAGAGTTCTGACTAAATAGGTCTGGGGCAAGGTTAAAAGGACTGTGTCACAGGCTTTCAGATGGTGCCTGCCTTGCCAGATCATAGATTGCCCTGCATTATTTTAAACTAATTATACTGAAAGAGACGCAACACACCTGCAATATTTTAACAGAAGAATATTTGATATATATTGATGATCTTTTCAGTAATTTTAAAATGTGGCTTCCTTAAAAACGTGGGCTACCATAATAAATATAGACCACAGTAAAATTGTTTAAAATTGTGGCAAAGAAAAATAAATACATATAAAAGATAGCAAAGGCATTATATCACACACAATAGATAGAGCATTTTCTTTTAAAAGAGCAAGTTATGCATTTCTGTGCTCCCGACTTTGCTACTTATAAATGAGTATCTACTATAAAAATAATTGCCACTTCAGGAGGTAATGTTCTACCTGATCAGTTGTATTAACAACCTGATTCACCTAGAATGAAATAAGAAAATAATGCTTGTCAAAAATTGTTGTTACAGACTTTGTAACTTCATCATGGTTTATCAGAAAGCTGTAGTAAAACTCAAGAAATTAACCAAGCTTCTTAGGTCAGTTTGACACATCTTGCTTTATTCAATTTTGTAGCAATAACACGATCAATTATGGCACAATTAAACGGCTCCAATGTCTATAAAGATTTATTTTCATAATCACAAAATAAAAGATACAGAACAAAGCAGGAAGAGAATCCAGGAGCGAATCAACACAATATACATTAAATAGTATACATGTATTTACATAAGCAAGATGATTCTTTGCCTTACTAAAGAACTTAGAACGTAGGCATAAGGAAGCCAACAGGGGAATGTGTCTTTTCTTTTTTCTTTTTTCTTTTTATTTTGAGACAGGGCCTCTCTATGTATCTCTAACCGACCTGAAACTCACTCTGTAGACCAGGCTGGCCTCGAACTCACAGAGATCTGCCTACTTCTGCTTCCCAAGTGCTGAAATTAAAGGAGTGTGCTACAATGCTCAGCTTTGGAAAAAAATTATAGTGAATGAAACAACCAATAATATCAGGAAATACGTGTCTCCAAATACTCTACTTTGTAGTAGTGATCATGAAAAGCAACATGTCCAGGGCCTCACTAAGCAGAAAATTATCCCGTAAAAGAACATTTTGAAGATTGCTTTTTTAGATTTAGTATTTAAAACTCTTTCTTTTTTTGTATTTTGTTAGCTTGCAACAGTTAAAAGAGTAAATATAAATTGAAAAAGAAAAAAAAAGGAAGAAAAAAACCTCTCGAGTCGGTGGGCAGAAGGGGAGACCCACATCCCCTGGCTTCTCTCAGAGCATTCTCTTTTAATGACTTTTAATCTTTTAATCAGTTCTTTTCCTCTTTTCTTGCTCCCTTGAAGGTGGTTTGAATCTTTTCAAAAGCTGAAGAGGCTTCTCACCTGCTTCACAGCCAGGGACCCAGGAGCCATTCAGGAAGATAAGAGCCTAGAGCCTAGCTTTGCTGGGTAACTGGCTCTCCATTACAAAACTACCCAAGTCATATAGATGAGTTTACATGTGAGTTGGCTGGCTGTCACAGCTGTTTTCGCTAATTACAAGGTAAGGTTGAGATGGATTAAATGTGACCCATGATAATGTCAACTTGGCTCATTTCAGGACTGGTCTTCTTTTTCTCCCCCGCCTCCCCTTTTCTTCCTTCATTTCAGACAGGTTCTTGTAGAGCCTAACCAGGCTGGCCTCAAACTCACTTTGTAGCTAAGGATGACTTTGAATCTCTAATCCTCTGGCCTCCACCCTTCCAGTGCTGGGATTATAGGCCCATTCCACCACATTCTGCCTACATGGTGCTGGGGATGGAACCCTGAGGCAAGCACTCTGCCTACTGCTCAGCATCCAGCTATATCGGTCCTTAAGGAGGCGGTTTCTAGCCTGTTGTATCTGCAGGACTGTCAGATTTTGTGATGTCTCACACACACACACACACACACACACACACACACAGAGAGAGAGAGAGAGAGAGACAGACAGAGAGAGAGAGAGACAGAGAGAGAGACAGAGAGAGACAGAGAGAGAGAGAGAGAGAGAGACAGAGAGAGAGAGAGAGAGAGAGAGAGAGAGAGAGAGAAACACAGACACACCACATTCTGAGGTCTGTTTGGTTTGTATGCTTTGTTTTGTTGCTGTTGTTGTTTTTAGACAGGATATCTCTGTGTACCTGCGATTGGTGATGAGCTCATTGCATATCATAGGCTGGCCTGAACTTAGCATCCTCTGCCTCACAAATGCTCGATTTGCAGACCTGAATCAACATGTCTGGCTCGAATTCTAGTTGATGTTTAATCAATAACAAATTGTTCTGTTTGTTTTATTCTCCTGCCTTTGGGAGAGGTATTCTGACTCGGCAAGAGTTTTGTACTGGATTACATCTCCTTAATACAACACGGCCCTGTCTGTACCTCTACCTTGTTCACATAGATAATCAGAGCACTCAAAATGTAAGTTTTGAGCAATAACATCACAAAACAATAGTCTTCCAAACAATTCTTTTAAAAGGGTAAATAAATTTAAAGGTATGAATACCACTACTTAAAAAAAAAGCCAACAGTGTGTAGAACCAGTGCACGTTGGATGGGATAATAGTTAGACATGCGTTTCTTTCCTCCCCTCATACAGGCTTCTTTAGAGATGGCAAAGACAACATTCAATCAATTAAATTAAAAACAGTGCCGGGGGTGGGGTGGGAAGGTACATTAGCAGACTGAAAGATTTTATACAGTTTTAGAAGACAGGAAGCAGATGCCAATGAATAAACCCACGTATAAAATGAGTGAAAAAAGAATAAAACCAATGACTAGAGCCTCAGCTCCAAAATATACATGCTGTTCATATTTTAATCATCCCCCCAAGACTCCCTTTCCCATGGCCTAGCCCTACCCCACTCAGCACTGAGGAGACTGGTATGCTCCTAAAGTGTAATTTCCACAAGTAGGATTACTGGCTCAAGTTCGTTATAGATTTTAATGGCTATTTCTTTGATCAGCATTAGTAAATAAAAGTATTGAGAATAAAGAAAAAGCCACACTAATGCAGACACTTGGACATTTTCTAAGATCCCCATGGCCATCCCACAGCAAATGTGCCCGATTTCACAACTAAACGGGGCTGGAGCTCATTAGCACTTGGACGGGGAAACTGTTTCCAAGGGATAGTTAGAAACAGCTGTAATTTTGCAGTCATGCTTGAGAAAAATTAGCTAACAATCTAGTCACCAGGACTACACTATCAGAGGAGGCTAAGAGCCTTGAAATGTGGTTGTGAGTGCTGAACACCAAACTTAATTAGCATGTACACATTTGAGAAAGGTTTTCACCGTGACAGTACCACTTTGTCCATCTGTATGTCAGATGTGAGGCGAACTCTCCTCAGCCATACAGGCATGGAGAGTGAGAACTGAGGAGACCTTAGCTTTAGGTATGTAACTAGCTATTCACTAGATCTCAGCTGCTGCTTCCTCCCCCTCTTCCTCCTCCTAGTTACTAATGACCTCTAAATTGCCAAATCCAAATGATAAATTTCCAGCTCCTGTATTTTCTATATTATTTTTTATTTTATGTACATTGGTGTTTTACCTGCATGTATGTCTGTATGAGGGTGTCCAGTCCCCTGGAACTGGAGAGACAGACAGTTGTGAGCTGCTCGGTGAGTACAGGGAATTGAACTCAAGTCCTCTGGAAGAGTGGCCACCCAGTGCTCTTAACCACTGGTCCACCTCATTGTTTTGAGACAGGATCTCTCATTGAATCTGAGGTTCACTGATTTATCTACAATAACTAGCCATGATCTTCACTGATTGGCCTGTCTCATCATTCCCCGCGCCCAGCTGCAGGGGTCACAGGAGAACCTCCCCACAGGTGGCTTTTATATGGGTTCTAGGATTGACTCAGCTCCTTTGCTTGTTCATCAGACACCTCACCAATGAAGCTGTCTCTCCGGCCCCTAAACTTCTGAAAGCTTAGGGAAGACTGTTGCTCTCCATCAATGTTTAATTACTCAAGCGCTTGTTCACAGCCATATGGACTCATAGATACTTATTTGATTCTTTGGTTCGTTATCCCAAATCGTTGTTATCGTGTTGCTTAAGCTATTCTAACTTTGAACATCAGGCGCTGTCCCAAGTTGCTGCCTGTTTTCGTTTTCTTAACCCACCCATGTTCTATCCCTAGAACATTCTTATTAAACTGATCTATCAGAGCACTTGTTGAAGAGTGTATTTTTCTCAGGAGAGCTACCATAGGATGAATATTAAATCTAAATGTTCCTTTCAAAGCCTTATATCGAAGGACTGGACAAAACCATGAGCACACATTTCTTCTTAGTTAGTATGTAATGTCTCATCAGTCATAAATCACTGTTCCCCTGTCGCAGGAGATATTTAATGCACCCGAGCTGTCTTATGTTACGGAAGTTCCAGAGCCACTATGTTCCCAACTAGGTTAGACCTGAGGTCACGAACAGCGTGTTCTCACCGCTGCTCTGCCACCCACAAGACGACAGCATGGGAGATGGCTCTCCCAATCTTCCACGCTGTCTCCACAAGGTTGGGCTGAGCCCAAACCTTCCCGCCATTCACGTGGTACCCAGCAGAAATGAGACTCTAATGATTAAAGATTATCCAATAGCTTTATATGTTTGGCAACGCTCAAATTAACAAGATGCCCACACAATTGGAAGTGTTAACCAATTAACTAACCTAGATATGAGTAGTTACCAAGGTCTGCTCCCGATACATGCGTGGCTCTCCATCGCTCCTACCTCTCTGCCTAGCTCCTCCTCTTTCTCTCCTCTTCCTCTACTTACTCCTTCCACATTAGCTCCTCCCAACTTGTGGGAAAATATCCTGCTACATTCTCCTGGTTACATGTGGCATAAGCTCATCTAACTGTAAAACGGGACACTGCTTTCCTTACAAAGCAGTCTCTGTCTAGCATGAAGGCCTAGGATTTATCTCCATGCTGTCCGTCATGTCTGTCTGTCTGCTCAGAAGTCCCGAGTACCTGCTATCAGCTTCTCTGAGTCAGGCAGGTGTGTGAATTGCTGCCTGTATTCCTCATTCCTGTCTTTATAGGTGGAGCTCGAGATCTGAAACAATAAAAAGATTAGGTTTCTGTTTAGTTACACTTGTAATCGCTTAGAAAACACATTCAAAATGAGACTTAAAAGTCATACTCTTTCTGTCAATATTATGTCCTTATATGAAAGCACCATGAACATTTCAGAAGCCATCCGTGTGGCACTCCTGTGAACTTGGGACCGGCCATGAAAGCTAGGAGCTATGTTGACAGAGGAGGCGGGGCTGATGTGGAGAAAGCAGAAAAGCTGTGTTTAGAAATAGAGGGGGAAACCCTAAAGTCATCTGGGCAGCCTGAGAACATGGTCCCACCTGGAACAAGCCAAGCGGCAGATTAGCAAGGTCATTGGCATCTAGAAGGAAAGGAGGCCGAGTGGGCTTGACACGTCCATATGCTCCTGCCAAACAAAGCTGCAGACATGGGGAGCGGCCAGGAGACAGAGCTTCAGCTATGTCCACATTCCTGCCGGACACACAAGAGAAGGGAGACTGTGTAGAAACTGGATCAAATGAGAGGAGCTTCAACTTTGGCCACATTGCCCAATATACATACAGATCTGTCAGTAGAAGGAAAGGCCTTTGTGGGTCTTTGTGTTTGAGGGTAACATTTAACAATCACTTGTCAATATCTAGGGTGACTTCTGGAATGTCAGCCTCAAAGAGAAAAGAAGAGCAGTAACAAATGCAGCAGAGATATCCATTCCCATGTGTTATGGGGAAAACCCAGATTCACTCTAAACAAGTTCTTGAACAGTCAAACACGATCAACAGTGGCAATCCTTTGGGAGGGGAGAAACCTCTCAGAATGCAGAGATGCTAATGAGGTAGGTGGGTAGGGCAGAGAGCAGGGCCTAGAAAGTAGGTAAAGCCTTATAAAACTGGCTTACTGAAAAAACACTCTGGCAAAGAGGAAGGCTGGAATTCCCGGCCGAGGCAAACCCAGACTGGCTCATGCCATGGGCACAGGTGGAGAGGCACTCCAGAGTATCGGAAAACAACCAATGACTCATGGTGAGAATAGATCTCACGCTGGGTGGTGGGTTAAGACAATCATATGACATGCGCCTTGTAAAGTTCTATGGAGAACGACATGCGACAGACAAATCATGTACAGAAAAGCCCAGATCCTTTGGGAAATGGCAAAGCCTGCTACAGCTTGCCTCCTTGGAAGTTCATCTTTCTGAATAAACTCTTCTTCTTTTGCTTGCTACTATCTAATTGCCTCTGGTGAATTCTTTGTAGCAGGATGCAGGAACCTGGAACCTCGCTAGAGATAACCTCTAATCCACAGAATCACTAGCACTCACACCATTTGAATCATCCAATGGGCAGAAAAACAAAAACAAAAACCTATAAAAACTATAAAGCATGGTGAGCAACAGAAGGGGAAAAATCAATAGGTAATAGAAACAATCCTTGATGGGCCTCAGGCACTGGATTTAAGAGCCTAAGACATCAAAGAATTTATCCCCTAAATGTTCAAAGAACTAAAGAAAACCATGCTTGATGAACTTAAGAGTCTATGAGATGATGGATCAGGGTTGTCCTAGCTTCAACCTTCAACTTGACAACTCAGAGCCATCTGAGACAAAAGCCTCAATTGAGGAATTGCCTAGATCAGATTGGCCTGTGGGCCTGCCTGTGAGGGATTAGCTTGATTATTAATTTATGCAGGAGGGCCCAGCCCACCGTGGGCAGAACCACTCCCAGGCAGGTGGTCCTGTGGTGGGTAAGAAAGTTAGCTGAGCAGGAGCCATCGAGCAAGACAGCAAACAGTGCTCTTACATGGCTGTTGCTTTGAGTCCTTATAGGAGTTCCTGAGCTGACTGATGAACTCTTATCTGATGAACTCTTAACTGATGAACTCTTATCTGGAAGCTGATGAACTCTTATCTGGAAGAAGAAGGCAAATAAAGCCTTTCCTCCTAAGTTGATTTTGTTTGTGGTGTTTGTCACAGCAACAGAAGAACACTGGAACAGGAGGTAGAAGTATTTGCTCTCCAATCTGATGACCTGGCTCAATATCCAGAACCCCAAATGGTAGAAGGAGAGAACAGACTCCCACAAGTTATACCCTGCCTTACACACACACACATGCTTGCTCGCACACAAATATACACACTCTCTGGCACGCATACACATCTATACTTTAAAATATTTTGAATCAAAATTAAAATAATTGCCTAAAATATCTGATACACACATAAATAAATGGATAATAAGGAAACAAAAATAACAGGAAACAGGAGCAATAGACAATAAAATATCCATTTGTCAGTCCAACCATATTCTATGTATTAATGTAGTCAAACCACATAACAGAAGCTAGGATGAAACTGGGAGAAAGCAAATGTCTGGACAATCTAAATGCCGTGCTTAAAAACTCAGAACAGGAAAAAAAAATCTTTTAGGTATAAAAAAAAGTAATAAAGAGTAAACTATTTTTAAAATTAGAACAGTAAAACATATAAATAAGAGAGATCATTATTTTAAAAGAACCAACTAAGTAGACAAACTTTCAGCAAAACTGATGAAGAAAAGCAAGAAGGAGACAAGATATGAATTATAATTATTAATAATTAAGCAGAAGATAACACTGCAGATACTACAGCTCTCAAAGGAAATAAGGGGAAATCCATACGCCTCTATACATATAAATGTATCGCCTTGGAGAACACCCTGGCTCCTCAAAACATGCAACTACTATAGCTCACTCAGCATGAAACAGTTCATTTAAGTTGGCCCACAGCCTCCAAAGGAAACTGAATTTATATCTTCAAATTTCCCAAGATAGAAATCTCCAGGACAAGATAGCTTAGATAGCTTCACTGGAGAAGGCTTGAATGTTTAAAACTCAATTCCAGTTCTGCCCAAGTTTTTCGAAATATTACGTTAGAAAAGAACACATCTCAATTCCTTGTGTAGGATATTACTCTAATATCAAAACTACATAAAAATATTACAAAGACAGAAAATGATAGAAAAATATCCTCTGGAATACAGACGCAAGAATTCTTAAAATGTGAACAAATACCCTTCAGCAATCTAGAAAACAAATAATACAACATGACCCAGAGACCCATGGCTGGCTTAGTAGTCAAAAGTTAATCAATGATATCAGCTAAAAAGGAATTAAAAAATCATATCATCTCACTTGATATAGAAGTAACATTTGAGATAATTCAATGTCTACTTGCAATTGAAACAAATAAACAAATAAACTATCTCCAGATTGGGAATACAAAGGAAGTTCCTCAACATGAAAAGAGTATCTACAAATTACCTATGATTTACAAAATACTGTAATGGTGAAAACTTGATTTACACAATAAATTGAGATCCACTCTTTTTAAATCTAAATGTTGGAAAAGACTATGCAGGACTAGACTTGAGTGTTTAGACTGAGATTCTTAGGAGTTCTCAGTGAAACCACCAAGGCTTGGCGATTTCTTCCACTGTGTTGGTATAATGGTTTGAATCAGTACCTCAAATTACAAATTTTAGAACTTAATCTGCAGCCTGGAGTACAATCCCAGTACTTGAGAGGCTGAGGCAGGAGGATCACCACAAGTTTGATTCTTGAGATATCTAGTGAATCCAAGCCTGCTTAAATTATAGATAAGATTTTACACACATGTGCATGCACGTACATAGACACACAGACACGTTGAGAGAGAGAGACAGAGAGAGAGAGAGAGAGAGAGAGAGAGAGAGAGAGAGAGAGAGAGAGAGAGAGAGAGAAGCAAATTACAAGGTTGGGGATACAGTTTCATGGCACATTTGTTTAGTATGCCTGATGACCTGGGTTCAATGCCCAGTACTAAACAAACAAACAAACAAACAAATGCCCTCTCTCTTCAGTACAATAGTATTTGAAAGATGGTGACAAACTCCAGTACACTGGTACTGTTGTCATGGAGATAGGTTAATTATAAGACATTTGACTTCTTATGAAACAAGTTTGGTCTCCTTTGCTCTCCTGTCCTGCCTGTGTACAGGGTGACACAGAGACAAGTTGGACACAAGATAACAATCAGGACTCTACACTGTAGCCTCACAGACTGCAGACCCTTCAAAGCTCTGGAACTGACAGATACTTTTCTTTTTTCTTCTTTTTATAAATTAGCTTGTCCATGGTTTCTTTGTAGCTATACAAAGTAAGCTAACAGATGATTTATTAGTCTTGTTTTCAAACAAAAGAAATGTAACTTTCTATTAATTTTTTTCATACAATATATTTTGGTCTTATTCTTTTCCCTCCCCATCCCCTTCCAGATCCCCTCCACTTCCCTACTCACCCAACTTCATGTTCTTTCCTCTTTCAAAAAACACATCAACAAAAAACTCCAAAAGAAAAAAAAAGGTAGCCGGGCGGTGGTGGCGCACGCCTTTAATCCCAGCACTTGGGAGGCAGAGGCAGGCGGATTTCTGAGTTCAAGAGTTCGAGGCTAGCCTGGTCTACAGAGTTCCAGGACAGCCAGGGCTACACAGAAAAACCCTGTCTCGAAAAAACCAAAAAAAAAAAAAAAGAAAAAGAAAAGGTACTAAGACAAAATAAAACAAGGGCACCAAAAACCATGGAGACCATTTTTGTTTGTTTGTTTGTTTTTTAAACAAGTCCCTGGGTCTTAACACAACTGACTCCATGATGGAAATAACACAACTGACTCCATGATGGAACTAACACTCAGGCCGTAAAACTCAGAATGCAGACAGCACCACCTGGCAAAATGGAAACGAAGGTCTAATTCCATCAAAGTCCACAGTTCCAAGAAGGTCCCTCAGTGCGCTAATTGTTCTTTTGGCTTCTGTAGTTCCTCTTCTGGCTAGCTGTTCTTGTTAACTGAAGTATGTCAACCCAGGATATGGTTTGTGTGCTTAAAAGCTCACCCTGAGCAAGGCTCAGGGATACAATGAGATCCTATACACCCAGTGCAGTCAATGACTGTCTAATAAAGACTGTCTATGGCTAACATACCCATTGACACTCTATTGGAGAAAATGGATTTTT